GGGCCAATGATTCGCCCCCAATAGTCAGCGATGGCACCAGCTGACTATATCGGGACGTCGGAAACCACAGCCACTCAGTCTTGGATGGGTTGAGCCTGAGCCTGTTCCTCCCCATCCAGATCCGTACGGCCTCCAGGCACTGGGACATCACTTCAAGGGCATCGTTGGGGTGGTCCGGGGTGGAGATGTACAGCTGGGTGTCGTCAGCGTACTGATGGTACTTCACCCCAAAACCACGGATGAACTCACCCAACGACTTTACATAAATGTTGAACAAAAGGGGTGAGAGGACCAATCCCTGCGGCACCCCACATATAAGGGGCCTCAGGGTCGACCTCTGCCCCCCTGTCAACACAGACTGCGACCGGTCAGAGAGAAAGGAGGAGAACCACCTTAGTACGGTGCCTCCCACCCCCAACTCTTCCAACCGGTGCAGCATGATACCATGGTCGATGGTATCAAAAGCCGCTGAGAGATCTAACAGGACCAGGACAGAGGAGCAACCCCTGTCCCGAGCCCTCCAGAGATCATCAACCAACGCAACCAATGCCGTTTCCGTGCTGTATCCAGGCCTGAAACCCGACTGGAACGGATCCAGATACGACGCTTCATCCAGGTACCGGGGAAGCTGTCCCGCAACCACACTCTCAACAACCTTCGCTACAAAACGAAGGTTGGAGACTGGACGATAATTAGCCAATATTGCCGGGTCCAGGGAAGGCTTCTTGAGGAGGGGCCTCACCACCGCCTCCTTAAGGGCGGCGGGGAAGACACCCTCACCCAGTGAAGCATTTATAACCCCCTGGAGCCAGCCTCGCGTCACCGCCCGGGAAGCAGCACTAACCAGGAGGGACACGGGTCCAACAAACATGTGGTCGAGTTCAATCTACCCAGAATCCTGTCCACGTCATCTGGGGTCACAGGATCAAACTCATCCCAGATAACAGTCTCAAGACCTGCCTCCGTCAGCTCCGCTGGATCTACCCAGTCAGAGTCCAGACCTTCCCAAATCTGAGTGTTTTGTCATGCAGAGACTGAACAAAATTTTGCTAATGAGCTGCTCCTTGGATATTATTGTTTTTCTTCTTTATGATATACCTTACATAATATACAATATATAGACATTCTGAGTGTCTAGCAATGAGTAAACACAAGATAAAAGCATTATAACAACACTTTATTTATGTACGGATTTATTTATTTATTAAATCTACACAGCTGCCCATTTCAAATTATTTTGGTAAATAAAGTAGATACACCTGTGAGTTCTCCTCATCCTAGGTAGTGTGAGCTAATAATAAATACAACTTCTATTTCTGCCATTAAATGGTACCACTATTCACTTCCTCAGAGAAGGCCTCCCTATAGTTTTCAGAACAATGAGTTCAGTTGCTTCTTAAAATAAATAAATAACCACAATTTTGAGATGTTCACACTACCTAGAGATTTGCAACTAAAGAGGCAAAAAGGACACGTTCAAATATTTAGTCCTATTTTTCCATCAATGTTATTTTAAATCAAAGATTTATGAATAGGTGAGTAAGTATTCAATGCATTCATAATCTCTGCAAACTTTGCCAAATTCAGTTTGTTTTGTCATCTTTTAAAATTACAGTTAACATACTGCTCTTTATTTTAAAACACACCACACTGTCCATAGTTTTGCTTAACCCTCTATTTTAATGCATGTTTCTCATTGTGATTTCAATTCCGTTAACTATCCTGAAAGATTTTCTTCCTTAAGCAGTTCCACTTATTTTGCTTTGTTGCCCCTTACTATGAGCCCAGTTTCAGATTATGTGTGGAATATTGGAAGTTGTTTTATGCCTGGCTAGATTACTTGTCCTTCTAATTCAGTCATTCCAGGTTTCCCAACAGATGGCTTCTCTATCCTTGCTGTCTTAACTTTGTAATTTGGAGATGTCAAAGCTAGAGTATCTATCGATGAATGTCATGTAGGGTCACTTTTCTCACTTTCTCCTCCAAATCCACATTTTTCCATGATGTCCTATATTCCTTAAAACTCTTTCTTTATAATAAAGAATAACAAAATCCCATCAAAGTTCATGGAATTAAATTGGAACCTTCCTAAAATATTTTTAATTTTAGTCTGGCCTTCAAGGCTTTCTTTTCTTCTGTATATGTAATGTTTATTTCTTAATAATTTTCCCAAATGTCCATAATAAAAGGATAAGTGTGCTTACCTGCCTCCAAGGAAGTTCTACATGCTTTCTCAGAAGAGATGAGTGTTTTGTTCAAAAAGGGGACTGCAAATCTTCCTAAGAAGAGAGAAAACAAAACATATGTGTATATGTCACCCTATGTCCATTATGTATGCCAGTTCTATCATTCAGTAAGATGAAGTTGAATTCTTCCTGTCTCACCATCAATTCTTATCCTTCCAAGCCAGCAAGTCAACCTCAGAGTATTTTGCTCTGATGAACTGACTTATTTAATCACCTTCACATAATCTAGGCAGTAGTTGAGGGGGAAGTTGTCTGACTGAACAAAGAGGATTCAAATTTCTATCAGTATGGGAATGTGGAAGACGCAGTAGTTCAGTGGCTAAGACGTTGAGCTTGTCAATCTTGAAGATCAGCAGTTCAGTAGTTCGAATCCCTAGTGCCGCGTAATGAGGTGACCTCCCGTTACTTGTCTCAGCTTCTGCCAACCTAGCAGTTTGAAAGCGCATAAAAAATGTAAGTACAAAAATAGGGACCACCTTTGGTGGGAAGGTAACAGTGTTCTGTGCACCTTTGGCATTGAGTCATGCCAGCCACATGACCACAGAGATTTCTTTGGACAGCGCTGGCTCTTCGGGAACGACTACCACATATGTGCGAGGGGAACCTTTACCTTTACCTTTACCTTATGGGAATGTGATTGCTTGTTTCTTGTAGTCAAGTTGTAGTGGTACCACTACACTGCAGTGTTTGCTTGCTGTCTACAGAATGGACAGCAAGCAAAAAGGTGCTGGACGGAAAAAGAAACAAGTAATAGGAAATTTACCCTGTGCAGTAATAAAAAGAGTGTTGGTTCTGACAAATTGTAAAATTCAACACTGCTTCATACAGTTACCTCTGTATGCCTCTGGAAAGTTCACAGACAGAAAAAAAAAGTCTGGATAGTGGACATTGCAATTCCCGAAGACAGCAGACTAGAAAATAAAGAACAGGAGAAACTCAAAAAATGTAAAGACTTCCAAACAGAAGTAAAAGGATTGCAGTAAAGGAAAGGAAAGACAGTATCAACAGTAATAGGCACTTTGGGTGCAATTCCAAAATATCTGGAACACCACTTGAATGCCATTGGCATTGACAAAATTACCACCAATCAGTTGCAAAAGGCAGCTTTACTTGGAACAGCTTACATCCTGCAATTATACCTTTTTATTATTATTAAACAATATGTCTGCTACCTCAGGTTCTTGGGAATGACTCGATAGACAAAAATGCCAATCTAGCGTAAATATCTGGCAGATTGTGCCACCAACCATAATAATGTAAACACTGTGATAGTTACTATTCTGACAGTATAATATTATTACTATATGAACAACTATTATAGTATCACTAATTTTACTATATTTTATTTTTCATATAAAATTAAAAGCAAACCTAAGAAAGATTGCATAAAACAATCTTATTTATACAGTGTTGTTTTTAATGGTTCCAATATAAACAAATTGTTACAGCTGCTATTACATGTAGGAACCCTTGTTTAAACAATGAATGTCTTACTGTTTAGGACCAAGGAATATAGTGACTCAGAAATTATGAAAGTACATATGTTCCTTCTTGAAAATCTTTACCCTTTATATTTACAGAGTATAAATTTTCAGCTGTCATATTATCCAGACTGAAGATAAAGTACAATTGGCAATTACATTAATAAATTAATAGGGCCCTGATAGGCCAACAGCTAACAAGCCAATTAATGTATTGTATCAGCCATCAAGATGACAGTCTGTGAAAACATTTAAGATAATGTTTTTTATTGAAGTGCTACATTTGTCAATAAGAGTTTCAAATAGCTATATCTGCTTCACATCAGTTACTCCCCAAAATTAACACAGGGGCCTTCCAAGCTTTAAGAATAAGGTATTTGCAGAAAACCCATAGTAATTCACAATGCTTCTTTTCATTCTGAAGTAATCATGAAATTGTGGAGATGCGTTCATAACATTTACTTCACTAAAGAACAGAAAAATCTTAAAACATTTAAAGAAAAAAATATGTGTCACAGGCTATAAACTGTTTTAAAGCAGCTTGCAGATCTCCACACAATGGAGGGACTTAGTATGTTATTCAAATACCCTAACCTAAATAATGAACCCTGAAACTAAGGGAGGGTTCACTTTAGCCCCAAATATCCCAAAAACCATAGGGGTCTGGATTAATTTCCCAGTCAACTCTATTGTGCAGATTACTAACCCAAGAATTAAATTGTCCCTTCTGGGACTTGTATGCTTTACAGTACACCCTTTGTTTGGGTGCCTCCTGAGCATTAACTAATTGGAAATTCCTTTCCAAATTTCATACCTTTCCTTCACTTTGGCCAGGGTGATGACTTGATGAGCTGTCTGGATCAAGTTTATTACTGCCAATAATTGGTGGATTCCTTGCTTCTTTACCCTTCCTAGACTAGAAAAAGAAGAAGGAAGGAAGGAACTTTTATTTTTCCTGTCACTAAGGCTAGAAAGAGGGAGCAGAAAAACTCTTGTCAATTTCATCTAGTCCAAAAAAAAAACCCCGCCAGGTCCATAGTTGCACTGTTACATCACTGAATTTTAAAATAATCCATGGCAATGGAGGGCAGACCAGTGACCAGAAGGGAGGGGGTTTTCCCACTGCAAGCAACAGTAAACATGGAGGAGTCAAAGAACTGAAATGCAGCATGTGAACCATACAGTACAATTCAAGACAGAGCAAGACAGGAAATATTACGTTTGAGAAGAACTCAAAAAACATGGCCAGAGATTGCATTACCTGATGGGTCGGGTCAGCTGGGTGACATCATCATCTATTCCTGCTCTCTGAAAATTCCTGCACTGAGGTGAACCTGAAATACAGATTTGCCTTGAGATAAAGATGATGACATAGAGTTCTCCTACAAAAATGAGATTTTCTGGGTACTCTGTGGTAATGCAGAGAAGGAAAAAGGACAAAATGAGGTAGAGGTAAACCCTCCCAGACTTTTTCTGCAGCAACGGTAACCCCAATTTCAGTCTTCAAGATTTTTTTTCTAATGTGGAAATAACATTTTTCCTGGGGAAGAATGGACAAATGGTTATGACTTAACTGAACCATTTATCATAGATCATAGAATGCTAATGGAAAAAAATGAGTCCAAAGACCAATAGCGGAAATGACTGGATTTGTTAAATCTTTTTCTCATAACAAAGATGATGTCAGATTTCATTCATAAACTATGAGTAAAATTTGCACTTTTCACAGTTTGGCTGGAACATTTCAGTGAGTCTGCATATTGGATTGTAATGTTGTATCAAAATAGCTTTCTGTAGAAGCTTTGGGTTTTGGGGAAAAGTTTCTAAAGCTATTACTGAAAGATCCACAGTTGTTAAAACATGTTCCAATACAATTGTCAGTCATGGCAATATTTTTGAACCAAATTACTTCCTGAGCTTTAAAATGAATGTTGTTTTTTCCCCCTTCCCCCTTCCATTCTTCAGTTTGAAAATGAACACAGCAAATCTACATTGTAAAATGGCTCCAGATGGAAATAGGATTGCTCTGGAACTTAATTTGCTCTTAAACTTAATTTGCAAAATAAGTTTCAGAGTAGCAAAAGTGTAATTTGCAATATTCATTTAAATTTATTCTTTGTAATATTGATCTCTTGATGTAGACTGGCAAATTTCTGGGAATTATTTCATTTGTGAGCATGATTATGTAAACAAAGGGAGGATCCTTACTCAAACATCTTCATTTGAATTAAAATTGCTTTTTCAGTTCAAGGTTCTTCCCCCATAAACTGCAAGCAGTTACTTTTTGTTGTTAACATTCCCATTTTCTTTCCATAAAAAAGCATTTCTTCTGCAATGAAATCATATTCCTTATATTTCCAAAATATAAGTTAGGAAAAATGTCATTATTGCCAAACCACAGTTTGGAGACTCCTATGCATGGTGTTTGCCTACAAAGGGATGGGATTGAGCAAGTAAATTGATTTATATGGCACCATTATGCTCGACTTCTGCCCCATAGGATTCAGGGCCATCATCAACCACATTTCCCATCTGTTGATCATGTCAGAGCAATGGGTGTCGGTACTGAATGAATGCTACAAGTTTTTCTTAATGGCTCTTTTGAGTCCCTCCTGATCAGTGTTATCAACTGTAGGCTCAATGCAGTTTTTTAAAAAACAACAGGAAAAAAGTAGTGAAAGTGACCAGCTATAATGGTTGGAGGGAAGCTCAGCTGAAGCTTCAGAAGAAAATTAAATGAGCCAATATTTCTGCATAGGAAACCCCCTTTAAAAAACAGGGGAAAAAACAGGAAATCTGGCTGGGGCAAATCTATATGAGCCATTCTTGCCCACTTTACATCGTAACTTCCCCAAAGATATTTAATATAACTCAAGTACCATAAGATTGCCTTCCCTTATATAATTATGACTTTAATGTTGGTAACAGACTTTTTTGTGCAGCAATATTGGCACATTTAATTTTCTGCTGAAGCTTCAGGGGAGCTTCCCTCCCAGACATTTTAACTCACCAAACCCTTATTGCTCAGTGAAAGGGTTACCAGGTCCTGCTATTGCATAATGTCCCCATGATAAATTCTAATCCAGGGTTGTTTGAACGTCTCAGTTACCTGAATTTGCTGAAGAGACCTAACAAGGCAAAAGCTCTTGATGCCTTGTTTATGCTGCAGCTTTCACTGGAGCTTATTAAACTCATAGTTACTCCATATAAGCTGTGTTCAGCCTTTCTCCAACAGCAAAGTGTTGACAGTAAGTAACAGACACTTTGCCCCCAAGGTACCATGTTTACACACTGGTGCAAAAGCCTGGTAGATTTGAGTCCTGTAAAACTATCACAGATAACAGGCCTGTTATCAGATAAGTGACTATAATAAATGACTACAATTAGAGCTCTGCTGATGAGACTACTTGGTGGTCTTTCCACTCTGTTTTGGACAAATCCCAGGCCTAACAGTAAAAGAAACATGTAACTACCACCACCACCACCCAAAAAGAAAAATTGATTGGAAAAGGAGATAGAACAAAGCCCTATGATTTCTTGAAAGGATGTTTTATAGAAAGAAATGGGACTTGCAAGAGAGAATGGAGCATGGTTTGTTGCTAGGTCTGCCAACTACTCCATTCTTTCCTCCACAACTCTACAAAAACAGGCACACATTTTTAGTTCTCTTTCTTTATGTTTAGGTGTTCTATGGGCCCAAGGCAGGTGGCTTAAGGGATTCAAGGAATGTTAGTAAAGCCCTGTTGACTTAATCTGTATCCACCATTGCTAAACAGATGCAGTCAGGAACCTTATAGGCTTAGACACAAATCTTCTCCATTGCTGCTCTCAAGCAGCTACTAATTATGGTCATTGTGGAGCAATTTTCTTTTTTTAGGATTTTGAAGATTTAATCTTCTATTTTTATAGACCTTGGAGTGATCCCATATTCACTGATGCTTCTCTTCATGTCTGGTGCTATTTTGGCTGTGTGGGCAACAATATTTTTGGTCCAAATGTCAAAAATCAAAGCATTGTATGGGCATCTGTGAACAACACATAAAATTCTAATCCTTCTTCAAAGGCACTAATAATCATCCAGTCCATAACAATCTTAGGAGCTATAGCAAATAAAAGGACTAGCTGTAAGTCTTTCCCACTTATAGCAGCCATATAAATAACATTGAGAAGGGTTATTTGAAGTTCAGAAATCAACGCAGTTGCTGTAGATTTAGGAACAGATTTAGGAGCAGATATGATCAGGCAATGAACTGTGATGCAGATACTGTATAATAATGCCAATTTCATGTCACACTTCCAGATCAGTAATTATCCATTATAATCATTGCCAATACATCCAAAGAAGGAATTTTCATTTCTTTTTGCATTATTATTCCTTTGGGTATTTCTCATTGCACGCTTCAGTTAAAAGTACTACATCTTTCCATGCATCCATATTTCATCACAATCATGCTGTTTCACAGGGTTTGTTGTCTTTCGGGGTTTTTTTAATTATATTTTAACTTTTTGTCCCCTAAGACAGCTAATAAATTCCAGTAAAAGATTAGATTTAAAGCAGTGTTCTACATGAATCATTCTCACCAATGTGTGTTTTTCTCACAAAAGCAATACAGAGTGTTTGAGCTGATCTAGCCAAATAGTTCTTATATTTTTTTGTCCTTAGCTGGAAAAGAGCTGAATATCTCTTAACATAGGCCTTCTAGACATGGCCTTAGACAAAGGTCATCTCTCACTTGGGATGGTTGAAGAATTCAGATCACTTCCAGCCAAGTATCAGGTCACATGTCTGCTCATCCTAGCTGGAGTTGAACCAAACTGTTCTGGAGAGGTGCCCAGAAGTAAAAATAATTAACCCTGAATTGTCCCATAGGAAGGACTGAAATATATCAGTGAGAAAGGGCACGCCTTAGGATAATATTGCGCCAGCAAAAAAAAAGATATCCTTTTGGCGTATGGAGACTTTTACTCTGTAAAAATTTAGCAGTGTTTATCTGGAACACTGCTAAGAATAGCTGCAATTATTGTTGTAAAGGTATTTCTATTTACACCCTATAGAGTCATTATGTCATAGACATGAGAATAATAGCCTATAATTTAAGCCCTTTAGTGACAACTCTTTAAAGGACATTCAGATATCTACACAGTTTAGTCATTTATAAGAATACACTATTTAAGTTAGCACTGAGTGGGTTCTTCAGATTCCTGTAAGCATCTGCCAAAACTGTAGCATACCAAACTTAAAAACTAACCATTGATAACATATGTAGGTTTTAACTTTAAGGAATTAGTTATTCACACACACTGCTATAAATTTGGTTTATGGTATCAAGCAAGCACCATAGTTTTGCACATCCCTCCCTCCCCAATAAAAAGGTGGCTTTGTTCTTTTTAGAAGAAATCTCATATAAGCTTGATTTAATTTAATATTTCTTATAATATTTCTAGGGGAATTGCCCTGAATGGGAGTACAATTCCCAAAGGAGCTTGACATCGTGTGTGAAAGTAGAATTTATGGGTGTCTTTGTAGCAGCAGAGCCTCTCATAAACTCCCCAAACTTACACATCGGAATCAGCTTGTTTAACTTAATCATGAGCTTAGAGGTGATCCAGTTGACCTTTGTAAAATATGATAAGGCCTCTTGCTGAAATTACTGTAGACTTCAGATTAATGGAAGACTGTCAAACAATGTAATCTTAACAATTTGAACTGTTTTAAGAACTGCATGTTGAACTTTTTATTACTGGCTTGAGTGGAAAACAATTTCCAGATTATCTTTTATTTGGGGAAGGGAAGGGAAGGGACAAGCTAATTCCAAATTCTACTACTTTTTACTTAAAAAGTTTACTCATATAATCTTTCATCAGTGTGTTTTGATGGGGAACAGCTTTTAAAAGGGGGTGAATGAAGAGCAGTTGTCAGTAATTTTATATTTGAAACAGTCACAGGATTTGATATTTCTCATTCTATGCAGCAAAAATAGTTAAAATATAATAGCAGGAGTTACTTTAATATTTCGTTTTCCTCCTACATTTCCAATTACTGAAACACTGACTTCAGTTGACAAAAAAAAAATGGAGTAAAACATTACACTGATTTAGGAAACAGTGAAAACATGGGATTTAAAAACTCCAATGAAAGAGAAACCAACCTTTTCTAAGACAAACTGCTCTAGTATGAAATGTGTCTTTTCATTAGAAATATCCTCCTAATAATTAAATTAAATTCTGGAAACTGAATGTTGAATCCTTCTGGAACAAGTATGTTCCATCTTCTTCATGAGAGCAGTCCTTTCAAAGCATTCAAAGCTATCATGCTTCCCCTTAATTTTCTCTT